TACTAGTTAGAGTTCGTTATATTCCATCGGTTCTTTTTTATATATCATATTAGCTTTGTCCTAAATCAAAAATTTCTATCTTTGACTATCAATTTTAACAAATCCATGTAGTGTTTCACAACATGTAAATTATATATTATGAAAGTATTTATCATAGTGAATGTAAAAACATAAATTTTATGTTGTTGATGTGTATAGTTATTTTACAAAATAGTTGGTCAAATTTAAAAGTATTTGACTTAGGACAAAGCTAAGACATTTAAAAAAGAGCGGAGGGAGTATATATATAGGTATTAATATAAGTATAGTAATTTTTAGTGCACTAGAGATGTTTTTTTTCTAGTGTTAGTTACCTTATAATTTCCTCCATCTCGATCGCCTATGACTACAACGTAGTACTCCTCTGTTTTTTTAGTATACTAGATATATGCCCGTGCGTTGCACGGAGCCACAGATGGAACGGGACAGTGAATTTAAGCTCGGTACTTTTTATAGGTCCGCATACAAGTACAAATACGATTGTATTTTGTAAGAGAAAATGAGTTAATGTAACATCACAATGACATCACATATCCTCATGTCTGCGTGGACATGCATGGCGGACGTCGGCCACCACGCATCAAGTCACCGGCCATGGTACTTGCCGATTTTTTTTATAACTTTATTTTTTTATAACTACTTGCCAAGTTTTGTTGCGGAAGGTCTCTCATGCATGTTGTTTAGGCCACCACGCACGAGGTAACATGTTGCTGGAGTTCTCGCCAAGGAGCCGATGCACAGCAATCAGCAGAGCCGCGGCGTGAAGCGTTGTACGTACGTTGATGAGGCGAGACGAGTGAGCTATTGCGGTGGATGTCGTGGAGATGGTCGTGGAGCGCGTCGTGGAGTGCATGAACTCGAATACCAGGATACGAATTTATTTAGATCCGTGATCTAAAAAAATATAATTTATATGACATATATAAATGCAATATATTGCAGTGATATATGGAGGGTAAACATGTAAAACCAGAAATACATCAACAATCGATTAGTATTATCATGTAATTCATAGGAAATGAAAGGGTTTATGTGCAAACAAGGCACAACCTTGGCCTTGTTCGGATGGCTGAATTTCACTGTTCATGGCTGATTTCTCTCACAGGTTCCTCCAGATTCATTCAGATTTCTCCAAGCGAACGGAGCCCTTATCGTTTCCCATCCCAACCTACAACCACGGACCGACAGTTTCCCTCCCCACCGCGATGGCCTCAAGGTCGAGTGGGCGCCACTGCCACCGACGCCGCGGGCCGTGCTAGTGGGCAAAGCGAAGCCACGACTGCTGTCGGGGCCCACACAGGCACCCCCGCAGCCGGCCGACCATAAGATGGCCCAGCCTCTGCCGGCAAGGCACACGAACATCGCCGTTGGGCAGCCATGGCTGCTGCCGCGATGAGCCCTTGCCTCTAGGCCAGCCACCGCCATCGACGGGTCACCTGGCTCTAGAGCCGGCCGCCGCTGCCATCCTTTGGCCTGGCACGTGGCCGCCGTCTCTGACCGAGCGGGACTTGAAGCCCCAGCCATCGCCGCCGCCTTGGCCTCCCGCGCTCCGTCCGTCGCCGCTTCTCTGAGCTAGGCGAGCTCCGCCCTGAATCCGTCGCTTCCAGCCCTGGCAACTCAGTGGAGCGCGGATCGAAGTGGAGGCGGCAGGGTCAGGGCGGGGCTTGCTCGATCCCATGTTTCCTTCTCAGATTCGCTACCGATCTGCCAGTTCTCTCCCTCAATCCAGTTTCCTTCTCTTTTTCGTTGCGGGGCCAGGAGGAAACGGGAGAGGCGCGGGCCCACTTTCATTGCGCGTGTGAGACTGGGGAGGCAGGCGCGCGAACGATTGGACGAAACCCCTTCCTATTTTTTAGGTGTAATAATAACAGATATAATGAGTTTTAGATGTTCTTTAATTAAAATACCGTACTACGTTTTGCAAGCATAAAATGTCGGCGCCGGCTGAATATTCCGAAGGGAGGGCGCATATTCTATTGACAACTTCAAGGTATCACATACTCCCTCCATGTTGGTAAAAGAAGTCGTTTTGGACAGTGATACGGTCTCCAAAGCATAACATTGACTTTTATTTTTATTAAAGTATTTATTGAAAAGTGTTATATGTAAATGTTTAGGAAAGTATTTTTCAAGACAAATGTAGTCATGTGGTTTTCACATTTTTCAAACTCAATAACTTAAAAGTTTTATTTATGATTTATATTCTGATCCAAACCTTATCTAAATCGATTTCTTTTAGCAATCCGGAGGGACTACAGTACGTACACTGCATGCCGTGCCGTGCATGCATCATGCACGTTCTCCAAAGAGTTTGCGGGCGCACACACGTACGTCGGCTTTTTGCATTGCATGTGAGTGTGCCGATTTTTAATTCTCCTTTGTGTATGTCGATGTCTTTATTTACACCGGGGCCGCTCTTCAAGACAGCTAGGGTGGTCTTAAGCAGTAACATGCATAAGCCAGTAGCCAACATGCAGCATGTGTGGCCTTTTTGACCAGACTGGAGTATACGTGAGTATCTATGTGAGTACAACGATCGAACTCATCATATACAGCAAGTACACCCAGGTAGGAGTATACTGCCTCTGTCCCAGATAAAAAGACGTTCTAGGATTCAGCACATGTACCAAGACCAATGAGAAAAGTCCAAGATACCCCTACTATTCTCTCTCGTGCACTTGTATTTCACAACGTCAAAAGCTATTGTCCACCATCGTAGAGAGTGCAGGTAGTAGACCTGCTGCCTTGACTCCGGTAAAGTAGTAGGATGGGAGCCACAACGATATTTTTATTGGGACAACGTTCACATGCCAGAACAACCTTCTTTTCGGAACAGAGGGAGTACGTACTACTTCAAACAATTAATTAATCCTAATCAAGCACATCTCGAGACTGGATCGGTTCCTTTTCCTAGCGAGTTCCCAAGTCGAAGGAGAGGAGAGGACGATCGATCTGGCGACAACAGATGCAAAAGCTCATGTACGTGCATGCATGCGCTTCTCCACTACGTGCGGTTAGGTGCCTCGATTCGGTTGCATGCAGCTCCACAGCAGTATTAGTAGTATTCAGTTCTGTGGTTGTGGTAGTGTTGGACGGTTGTTGTTTCCTGTGGATTAATTAAGCATGCATGTTGTACTATATGTCGGCCGGTACAGGACGGTTAGTTGGACACAACTGCTTTCCGGCAGCTTGGTTTTTTTTCTCTTTTTTTGTAAAAAAAAGCTGCTTTTCCTCTATCTCTGCTATGTTCTTAAATAATTTATCATGTAAGAATTAAATATAGGGTGCTGGCATTGAACTTTGAACTTTCTTTAGGAAATAGTATTATATAATCATCGGACTAGAAGAATGAATGAACCATCGTCTGATCTATATATGGTCCACTCCAACAGGATGCATGGTTAATATAATTGAACAAGCAGTGTTGTAATGTGATACGAGAATGGAAGACCTAGTTGTTTATCTCAGCTTGAGTGTTGTTTGACTGCTCTCCAGCGGAGCGGGCAGAATTCCTATAGCTTGTAAGGAAGGTTTACATATGGCTGAGCAATGGTTTGATGATAAACCGACAATTCTAGAAACTAACTACACAGCCTGTGTTTTAGGACGTACTCACCTCAAAGACATTACAGAGGTCCCTGATGAAACCGCTGATTACAGACATGGAGTCGTCAATGAGGCAACTTGTATAGATTTTAGAGTAGTAAAGATTTACTGATTGCAGACATGGAGTTATATAGATGTTAGAGTAGTATAAAGATTTGCTGATTGCAGACATGGAGACGTCAATGAGGCTACTTATATAGATGTTAGAGTAGTAAAATTTTATGAAAAGAGTAGTAAAGGTTAAGACTCCAGAACTCAGTATAGATGTTAGAGTAGTAAAGATTTTTCAAACTTTATTTACAAGAGCTTACGCGTGGACATATCTCGCGAAAGAAAAGAGTAGTGAAGGTTAAAAGACTCCCGAACTCAATATAACTGATGGGTAGAGTCAATTTGCCTGCCGTGTGTGAATAAGACGGCTGTGTGGTTAGCAAGAGTACCCTCATGAGGAATCGAGCACATTGTGCTCAAAGATTGTAATGCTACCTTGTCTTATTGAGTGACTCTCTCTTTTCTTCACCAAAAAAACAACAACAGCAGCAGGATAGTCTCCTAATATAAATGGCCGGCGGGCGCCCTAGAGGGTGGCTATATTTGGACGTTGGCAACTTGGCATACATGCGGTTTTCATTTGCGACTTAATATATAATGCCATTACGCCTACAGCTGCATATTACGGACGTTGGCAGGGGGACAGGGTGCTGTTCGCTTGTCTTATGAGCCGTAATATTTCAGCGAACGAACAATGTTTTCCCTCACAACAAATCAGCGAACACAGTACTTTCAGGCATATCTTTTCAGCAAAGCGAACATGGCCTATATTTACACAAAATGCTCGAAGTTGCAAAATGTGTTATTTACCCTTTTGCTATACATCGTGGCCATGCATGCACGTATGCAACATACAGTGGCTCAAGAAACTTGTACAAGTTTCAAAGGAGCTGGTAAATGGTTTTTCATTTTGGAGAACAAAGGAAGTAAATGAATCATCATCAGCACTATATATGCATGTTTCAATTTGAATAAAAAGCCCGTAATCATAGTTCACACATGTACGACGAGCTGCTGTGAGAGTATCATACTCAATAACCGTGCGACAGCCTACTGGTCATGGAGAATGGCAAGCTACCATTGCAATGGCAAATAATAAAAGCAAGCCTCATCTAGGTGTATGCGGAGAATTTGCAAAGAGAAGGACAGAAAATGACAAACTCATATAATCATATAGATATACCAAATTACCATTACAAAGGGCAACTAAAAAGAAGAATTAAGGTAGTACAACAAGACCAAAGGGCCGGGGAACGAACAAAATAAAGCTACTTGCTACTGCAGGCTGCTTGTTGAATCATCGATCATTGACTGATCGTAGTAAGCAGCTTCCTCCCAGTCTTGTTGTGGGTGAATGAATGACCGATCCCCGGGCTGTGGTTTGGGTTGGTAGGGCGGACGTCCTCTGTGGCACCAGGAACACCACCTTCTGTGGGAGTGATTGTGCCCTCCATCATCCCTGCTTTTGTGGAGAGGAAGCAGTGGTAGCTGACGACTGCAGGTATCTTCTAGGAGTACTTGCTAGGCCTTGTTTAGATTGAAAAAAATTTCAACCCGATGAATAGTAGCACTTTCGTTTTATTTGGTAAATATTGTTCAATCGTGGACCAACTAAGATCAAAAGATTCATCTCGTGATTTCCAACTAAACTGTGCAATTAGTTATTTTTTTACCTACATTTAATGTTCCATGCAAACGGTTAAAAATTGATGTGATGGAGAGAGAGTAAAAAAACTTGAAATTTTGAGGGTATCCAAACAAGGCCCTAGTATCATAGTAGGAGTGCAATGAGCTGACATGATTTGACAGGCTAGAACTAGGATTACTACCATTAGAGCCACTGTGCTCATATTGTTATTGTATGGCTTTATGGCCATTGCTAGCTCGAAGGAGAAGGTGATGAAACTAACTAGCTCAAGAATCGATAAAGAACTAATCAGATATGGGTTTTTACTTCAAGTTACCTTTGCCTCTAGCTTAGCTTGGTCGATGTCTACAACCTCCTACGCTCCTAGCTATTTATAGGGAACTGAAGGCAAGCATCGACGGAGCATTACATTATTAAAGTTACATTACAGATTTGTCTTGCACATGGAAGGAGAATAAAAGATTGATCCACCATTTTGTAGTCCTGTAATATAACCTTAGTACAGTAATTAAGTTAGTAACCTTAGTACACGGACATGTATGCATGGGCCATTCTGCTTCATGCAACCTTAGTACAGTAATTAAGTTAGTAACTGTACTGCTTCTTAGAGTAGTGTCTTGTAGTATCTAAAGATTTTTCAAATAGCTAGGTAGGAAAAATACTCTCTAATGAAAATCATTTTGTTTTCCTAAATTACAAGCTTTTAAATTTTTGAAACACTGAACAATTATTCCAATGTGCATAGTTTTGTGTCACTGAAATAGTACTAGAACGCAACATCAAAATTATGCATCTATCGTCATTACAGTATTATCAGTCATTTTATTTATACTTTAAGATGAGTTTACAAGATTGTCTTCATATATCTAAATTTTTCGGTAAATAATCAACTGCTAATATTAATAAAACATTTGAATAGATCAAATTGACATGTTCATGATCAGAAATAGTGCAGTTTGAATTAACCGTCAATCACGAAGATAAGGATTCGAGGTTCATGCATATCTATAGGTGTGCTGATCTGACTCTAACCAAAACAAAATATATTGTCCGAGCCTGAGGACTTCAGCAATAAGAGTGGAAAATAAAGTAGCGAGGACAAACAATGATCGTAAATAGTGTTCACTCAATCATGCTCCTTCTAACTGCATATGGGCATATTATTTATAGTGGATTTGTTTACAACACATGGACAATATTCTCGTAGATAATTGTTTCGCTGCACCGTATTGTCGTATGGACATTAGTCTCTAGTTTTCTTTTGGTCTTGGACTTCGCTTGTAAGTCTCTTTACTGTTGATCGATTCTGCTTCGTGCATGCTGGATCTCTTGCTTTCAGTTTTTTTTTTTAATTCGACCCGGGGGATCCTCCTGGTAGATATATTAATGTGTCCCAGAAAAGGCCAGATGGATTACAAGCATTGCAGCTGTAGCCTAATTAATGTGCGTTTCATTGCAATGATCTCTTGGCTAATGTGTAATCTCTTCTGTGTAGCCTGGCACTCTTCATCATCGTCTTTCTTGTGGATTCAGGGCAGGGGGCAAAGGGGTGTGCTCCCTTCGCTGTTCTCCTTGCATACTCTGTAGTTTCTTCTCTTGATATGAATCTTTGGTTTTTGTCTTTTGGAGGGATTACCAAATCTCTTAAGCTTTGCTGTTCGCCGTGATTGAGGTGTGCTCCATTCGCACTTCGTACGTGCCAGCAGCATTGCTCAAGCCAAATGGTAGCACACTCTTGGAAGCTGATATGCCAGCTTTGCTCTTTTCTAACCTTTAGGTTGTGCCATTGGGCATCTTGGCTACATGTGGATGCCAACTATTTGTTGAAGCCTGAAACTGAAACCAAATACTAACCAAATTGGTCGTCACAAAATTAAATTAAAACAGCGCAGGACAATAGGTTACATGTTGTACATGTAGAGTCAAGTACTACACTACAGATACCTTACTGAACTCATTAATTTATACATTATTTGTACCACAAAGTAGAAAAGGTTGTTAATTGCATATACTAATTATCTTGAATATTCCAAGTTTGATTCCCTACTACTTTGAGGTCCTTTTAAATTGACGCCAATGCAAGTTCTGTACTTAATTATATATTGTAACCTCACCGTCCAAATTACAGAACAACAGTTAACAAATCGTACAAGGAAGAAGCCATCTATAGCTAGCTGGACACAACAAAATACAAATATGGATGCATTTGACATTGTCTGGTGCAAGTTGAGAGAATCAGGAGGGGGACATAACGTCACTAGTACCGCTGCCTGTATGAGGAATCTACCTTGCATAAGTGCACAAGCGCATGTAGTACATGGTAGCTAGGCAAGTAGGAATATTTCATCTCGAGAATCGTGCCACAAGACCATGCACTCACATGCATGCATGCAATTTCCAAAGTGACTGGTGTGCAGAGATATGCAATTCCGGGTTCAAGCACCAACCTGTACCATGGCATATTCTGCGTTTATTTCCTGTTCTCTCTCTGTTGCTTACTGTTTGAGCATGGTAACTCTCACCATTGGTGAGGTCGGTGACGACATAAAGTCACACCACAAGTTAGATGAAGAGCAATGACATTCTAATATACAATGGTCACTGTTAAAGTAGAGGTATTCATCGGTTATCACACAGTTGAATCAACATTAATTATTATATGATGATAAATACACGATTCCAAATTATAAGGCATTTTGGCTTTTTAGATACATAATTTTTGTTATACACTTGAATATATAATGTGCCTATATATGTATTAAAAATAATGTATCTAAAAAAAGTCAAAACATCATATAATTTGGAGTGGAGAGAGTATATTTTTTAATCAAACTAAAATGGCAATGACATCTCCGCCACAAAACTAATCTAATTTAACCAGTCAAAATACACAATCCTAAGTATACGTAGTACTCCATCCGTTTCAAGTTATAAGTTGTTTTGATTTTTTTTTATATCCGTTTTGCTATGCATCTAAAAATAATAATATATCTAGATACATAATAAAATGAATAAAATAGAAAACTCAATGAGTAGCTAGCATGATGACAAAAGCTTTTTCACATGTAAGGAATCAGCCGCCACACTTGCTTGTGTACTAGTACTAACAATTTGACTGGCGCAGCCATTTGATCTGTACGTATATTCCCTTTTGTAGTTGTGGACGCAGGCATTCAGCTCTAACGACAGCATGCATCGAGCCACCGTCTCTGCCATTTTGCCTTGCAGCCTTGTCTGCTCCAAATGATGGCCCAAAGTACAATTGAAGAGCCACTTTAGCCGCCAATAGCCCATTACCTTTCTTAATTGAGCCCTAAACAATACTACAAAAGTGGCACTTGGTGAACACGAAGGCTGACAGAACTTTAGACGCGTAGGTCTGTTATTATATATAAATTTGGCCCTGTTCGCTTCTCTTATAATCCGGCTTCTTGTTTCAGGAAGAACAATGTTTTTCTCTCACAATAAATCAGCCGGAACAGTATCCTATAAAAATTAATTGTCAGAAAAAAGTACAACTGCCTGTCCTCGTAAACTTAAGAGAATCTCCAAGATTCCCCTTAATTAAGCCTCCAACTTGGGAAGAGATTCCATGTGTTTCATAGCAAGATTCTTTTCGCGATTCATGCATGGAATATGGACATTCTCTATGTACTCCCTCCGTCCACAAAAAAATTAATTATGGGATACGTGTCAGTCAAATTGACTCAAGTTTGACCAATTTTATTGTAAATATTATTAGCATTTATGTCTTGAAATAAGTTTATTATAAAAATATATTCTATAACTAATCTAATTAATGATACTTCTTTTGTATCCTAAATGTTAGTAATTCTTTATATAAATTTATTCAAAGTTTAAACCGTTTGACTTCTCAAAAAGCGAGAATTGTATTCCTTTATGGACGGAGGGAGTATGTATATATACACACAATTTTAAAAATAACCCAACCGAACCTTATTTTTATTCTTAACCTTTTTGGCAATGCCAATGGGGCAACCCGTCTTTGTTGATTGATTTTTAGAAAACTAAAAACAACGATTCGTAGGATTTAAACCCAAGACCTCTAGCCTCATGTGACCTATCCCTACCACTATATTACACACTTGTGAGCATTTTGTATTAACATTTAGTAATATTATATTGAATATTTTCTCCGGTAAATAATCTAAATTAATAAAGTTTTAACTAAAAGTTTTAGATCTTGTCAAGCAATGCAACTTGGTATAGGGCATGTCTCCATCCAAGATTGTTTGGAAATCTAAATCTCATAATACGAGAACTTAAAATAAAGATTTAATATTCTAAACAATTTCAAATCAAAATTTTGTCAAATACAAAGTTGTAGATTAGGTCGATCACTGCAACTTCGGTATTGATTATGTCAACATCCAAGGTCGTTCGAAAATATAAAATTTCAATTTTAACTAAGAAATTAAAATACATATTTAGGACTTTAAATGACTTCAAATCAAAAACTTGTCAACTATAAATTTGTAGATTGCACCGGAAGCTACAACTTTAGTCTAGACCATGTCAACATCTAGGTCATTCTTAAATTCTAATTTTTTAATTTCAAAATTTGGCAACTTAAAATAAAAGTTTGATACTAAGTGAGATACCCATGGGTCCTTTAAATTTTCATTCTTATTTAGGTCCATGATCCCTCAAAGTGATTATGTGGGTCCTTCAACTTTTTGAGTTGTTCATTCTAAATCCACTCTAGGCTCAATCATGGACCTCAATTCACTCTTCGAATGAACCACTCGAAAAGTTGAAGGAGTACATATGCACTTTATTTGAGAA